GCCCCGCCCCCCCCCCCGGCCCGTACAAGCGTGTGTCTCCTTCCCCCCAGTCTCGTTGGGAGAGAGGAGGTTCCCCGAGCCCGGCTGGGAGCCATGGCCGCGGTGGTGGCCAAGCGCGAGGGGCCGCAGTTCATCAGCGAAGCGGCGGTGCGGGGGAACGCCGCCATCCTGGACTATTGCAGGACGTCTGTCTCGGCCCTGTCGGGCGCCACGGCGGGGATCCTCGGCCTGACCGGCCTGCACGGCTTCATCTTCTACTTCCTGGCTTCCGTCCTCCTCTCCGTGCTCTTGGTGTTAAAAGCCGGACGGCGATGGAATAAGTACTTTAAATCCCGAAGGCCGCTTTTCACGGGGGGGCTTATAGGAGGGCTCTTCACATATGTCCTGTTCTGGACTTTCCTGTACGGCATGGTTCATGTCTACTAAAACAACTAGGAGCCGCATTAGCTGCAGTGGTTTTCAATGAAGCAGAAGGACTGTTGCCAAAAGTCATCTACCCAGCTAGGCCAGCTTTTACCTTTTAAACTGTTGTTCATCACTCGTATTGTTAATACCATCAGTAAATTATGGCCAAGTACAAATGAATCGGTAGTACTGTTTCAATTAAACTGAATGTGAAACATCACTCGGGTGCCTCCCATGAATATTTGTTTGGTGATTAAGGAATAACTTCTGTCCCTAATTGCCGGCACAGCCATGGGTTTTGGTTAACGTAGTCCCTTGTATCCTTTGCGTTTTGAATAAGATGTAACAATTACAGTCCCTTCTGGATTTGCTGCCTGTCCCTACACACAAATACTGATGAAAGCAGTGTGTAACACGGCACTCTTAAAAAATAATCCACTGACACAAGGAAATACTGCACAGTAGCATGTAATTAAGTGTATGTAAAGCTTTGGTACAGAAATGTAATTGAGTTGCTAGTGCAAACATTACTTCCACAATTGCTGTATGTACATGCTATCAATAAATGACATCATTGTCACAGATGCTCTTCACTGGCATATACAAAAGTACATTAAGTAGTGCTCTCACAAGGCAAACACTTTGCTCCTTTTTAGTACCGTTGTGTCCAATGCAACGCAGACAAACCAAGTAAGTGCAGCGTCTGACTACCTGCCAGCTCAGCCTGTACTGAACACACTTGGAAGCCTGCTGGCACTTTGTGTAACTGAACAGTGCATTGTTGTGGTTCCATACGTCTCTGGCAGGAACAGAAAGGAAAATTCGATCACCCACCGTACACATAGTATCTTTGCTATAGAGCTGTTTGTAGGTATGTATCACAAAGAAAAGGTGGTGTGTGCAACCTAAAACCACACTGTACAGAAGAGTCTTGGAGAGCGTTGCCCTAGAGCGACGCATTTATTGCTGTACATGAAATACAATGAGGAAAAAAAAAAAAAAGAAACAAGCTCCTGAGAAGGACTCTGGTTATGTTTTATCAACAGCAATGGTGGTGAGAATTGTGTTAAACAGAGGGTATAAAGAAGGGAAATATTCTAGGGACTTTTGGGGGCCTGAAGCCGCTGAAGTCTTAAATTCAGGAAATGGCTTTGGTCATCTAACAACAGGATGTTGTTTTGTCAAGTTGAAACATTGGTTTCAGTAGAGCACGGTCAGCTTTATGTGTTACGATGAGCTACTTGGTCTCCACGAGTTGTGCCTTGGCCTGATGTCACATGCAGGGTTCACCATGCGTTTCACCGTCTAGAAATTATTCAAATAGAATTAAGCTCCGACAGTCAAAAGCCTGTGCTGTTTTATTGGCACGGTAATTCTAGTAGGCCTGACTAGTGCAGTCATACACATGGTGACTCGTGTTTGCCTAGAGGAGAGACTTCTGGCATGAAGAGAGGAGGCTTTGGATGTGATCACAGCATCAGAGGTATGCAGCTTATCCTAAATTATTTTAAGTCCAGTGTTTAATTCTGTTTTCTAGCTAAATGTTTGACTCAGTAATTACTCGCATCTGAACAGAAGCAGAGGGAGGGGACGGGACTGGGTGGGGTTTGCTATTGGTGACTGGATTCAGAGTTTGCCACTGCTAACAAAGGTGAATTTTAATTTAGAATCAACCTGTACCTCGGAGTAACCACCTTAAAGAAGTTAAAGCAAAGGTGAGTGCAGCTTGCTGTTTCCATTTGTGCAGGACACTCGATCTCAGCAGCTCTCTGTAATGCCACCCTCTAAAGCTGTCCTAGCAGTACGTAAGGACACTGCAGCAGGAGTCCTTTAAATCTTGATATTCAAAGAGTGCACAGAAACACTTAAATCTTTATGACGATGACTCCTGGCCAATGGTGACCTGGCAGTGTTTACAGAACACTGATCAGTTTGCACCAAGCCATGGTGTGGAAGCTTTAAATGAGGCAGGAATATTTATTCACCTACTGTCTTCAGGAGCTGGTGAGTCGGTTCCTGTCAGCTCAAGCAAATGCAAACTTTAAACAATGATATTGCATAAGCACTTCTCTCTTCTGAGATAAGTGAGCACATGAGCATAAATTCACAAAATAGGCTCCAGTGATATTTATTTCTCTACTGAGAAACAAAGAAGCACTAGTAGTTCTTGGAAGTTACCAGAGCATTGAAGTAGCAGATATCTGTCTTCTAAATTTTCCTCCTGTTGGTATATTTGGAAGAACCTGGCAAAGTCTGTTTCACCTGATAGAGCTCCTCTTTTCAGTGCCTGCAGTATGGTTCAGGGTACCATGAGAAAACAGCAGAAGCATTAAGTCTCCCATCCAGATCTCTCTCCACCATGAGCAATTGGCAAGTTATGCAGAAAGAACAACCCCGAGCAAATTAAACCAGCCATGAAACAAAGGAGGGAGAACCTAAGACCGTCTCTCTGTGGATACTCACAGTGCCATGTTGCTTTTCAGTGCATTAACCCCCTTTTCCTCCCCAATGTCAACCACAAAAATATCTGTCCCTGCCTTGCTTCAAAATACTCCTCTGCCTGCTGTTACCTGTTGTGTGCTCTGACATGTCGGTTCTCTGGGCCAACTACAAACGGAGATGGTGGGTAGCGGGTGAGGTAGCTGGGACCCAGCCACAGCTGAACTGATTGTCCGTTCAGAGCTGCGGCAGGACCTTCTCCTGCTGTTCCTGAGACGAGCAGAGCACCTTGTTGCAGCTGTTGCGAAGGCTTTTCCTGGAGGAGCACCGTTTCTAGCCCTAATGGTTACACCCCCTCCCCCAGTAAGAGTAATTGCCCCCACACCGACACAGGCCCCAGTCAGCACGGGCGTTGTAGGATAACACGCCCCTTTCCCCTGGGCTCTGAGAGCTGCTGAAACGCTGCGTTTCATTGCACTTCCCGACAGGAGCAGTCCTGCTGCTTTACATCTAATCTTGCAAGTAACACAAGCGAGAGTTGGAAGCGGTGGCCGCAAGCCAGTGGAGCCGGGGATAGGTTGAATCTCGGCCTCAGCCCTCCTCAAAGCGCCAGTGGTGTTTCACATCACGGCTCTTTCGCACGTGGAAGTGAAGCACAGCCACAGGATAATGCTGGCTATTGACGTAGGTACAGATACATCTATCAACAGATATAAAATATTCATTTGGTGCCTTCTTTTTCCTTTTATAAAATCCTTTTATAAATCCATAGTGACGACGCGCTGTTGCAAGCTCAGGATACCAGAGAACATCTCAGGGAAAGAAGGGCGGTCTTTAAAGGACTTTTCTTCCTCTGGGACTCCCGATAATAGACGGTAGACCTGATCTGGGGTATCTCCACCTCCCAGTCCTGGTGTGATTTCACACCTGTGTGGTTTTCCGGGAACACGAGTCCAGCTGGCAGACCCATCGCTGTGCCTAGAGCCCGTCGAGCTGCTCAGGGCTCTGATTCCCATTCAGCGTAGGGCTGGATAACGATTTCCTGGAACTGGACCTGAGGAAACAAGCAAAGGTGACAGATGAGGCAAGGAGGCTATTTCTGTTTCAGGAAGCAATGTGGGCAAGAGGTTCCCAGCCAGGCCTGTCACACCTTACCACAAAGGCCATCGCCCTCCGTACAGATAAAGCCCCAGTTCTCAGTTTCACGAGGCTCTGGAGCTGCCCCAGTTCCACCCGCAGTCATTATGGACCGACGGTGCAAGGCCATTTATAGTCCAACCATGACACAGCAGCTTCCTTTGCTCCCCAGCTAACTGCAGCAATGAATTACGTCGGGAGGGAGGAACTTGGCTAAACTCATTTGGAGGAATTTAATTTCCTGGAATTGGCCTTCGTTTGCCATTAATGTTTACTGTGTTCCTGTATCTCTTCTATTTCTATTAGTCATAACAATAAAGCCATTACGTTTAAACACAAAAGCCAAGCCCACTTACTTTACTTCCTCGTACTTTTTGCCTCGATAAAAGTTACTCTTTTTAATCAGATACAGCAGCACCAGGTCACAAAAGAAAGCTCCCTGCAAACAGAAAGATAAAACAGTGTTTTATCTTTAGAGTAGAAGAGGAAGTGTTCTGATCTAATTAGCAACGAGCATTAATTAAAGAAGAATAACTTGTAGGAGCTGTATTTTCCTTCATACTCCGTGTAATCTTAGGGGTATTTAGACCACAAGGTACATTAACAAATGCCTTTTAGACAGGACGCAGACACGCACCTGACTGAGCAGTCAGAGTAGCAAAAACTCCACTGGAGAAGATACAAACCAACCATCCCATTTTATCCTCATAACAGCTAAATGAGGGATCTGGGTCCCAATACGTTACTGGAAGAAAATACATTCACTTACCGCTCCCATGAGAGCGAGCCCTGACCCGATATTGATAATGGTGGGAATGATGTTAAACTTCCCTGCCTAAAAGAAAAAAGGTCATGAAGTACTCGGTGAAAGAACAACGCAAGAAACAAACTTAAGGGTGCAGTTATTACCCAGGGGAAGCTACTAGTGCCCGTGGGCGTGTTTTGTTAGCAACAAGCAGGCACAACCATAGATTTGCAGCGAAAAATCTTGGAGGCTGAAGGTCTGTGTCTCAGACCCAACTGCCCACGGCTGCATTTCTGTACTTGCTTCATCCCTGGATTAGGCTTCTTCTTTCTGCAGTGCATACAGATGGAAAACAAGTCTCTGGGGCATATTTACTTCTGCTGGACTTTACATGAACCTGTTTTTAGGTGGAAGAGATGCAGACTCATCGCACTCCAGGTCATCCCCTTTCTTAGGTAGGGTTAGCTCCACATGGATGAATGGCAAGAGCCCTTTCCTACAACAAGCCAGAGAGGCTGTTCTCATCCCAGAGCTGCCTTCCCACTGAGAGATGTCCCCCATCTTTTTTCTCTCCAGGCTCTGAAATATTCTGGCCGGGGACCTCACCTTGCCATTCACCATCACATCAAAGCGGATTCCATACGCTTTAATGAGCGTCCGGTAGTCGACCCCCTCAGCATCCTGGTAATACTTGGCAAACCTGGAATACAACAGTGCTGATTTTAACTCCATCACCTGTCCCCCCCCCGCAAGAACTCATCTGAATTCACCTATCTGTTCGAACAGATCTATTCCCCCATCAAAACCAGCTTCAGCTTGCCATGAGCATGACTCCCTCCCTCCCTCCACTGAAGCAGCGTGCTTGGCTGGGACAGTGCCTGGCAGTCTGATCTGGTACTGCTTCACTGCCAACCTCTAATGCCTGCGAGACAAACCAGCTCAGCCTGACTGTGGTACTGCATCGTAGCCTCCTCTTTACTTACCTGAAGTTGTACCCAGAAGAGATGGACTTTTCTGCAAACTTGTTATCCAGCCGGCTAAAAGAATAGTGAGGATTACATTCAGAAGGGGCTTTATCAAGATCACAGTTCCATTCAATCTGAATTCCTATCACACCACCCTTAATGAAAGAGAGAGACAGTGTGAGTTTTTTAAGTTTAGTTCAATTAATGTGTCTTCAAATTTGTCAGATCCTTGGGCAAGTTTTCCCCAGGGACAAGAACAGCTGCATTTCTGGTCACAGACACAGGCACGCACAC